AGCCAACAATGGTCGAGCAGGACCTTTGACTTATCTTCACGTAGATGGAACTGGTAAAAGAAAGGAGCCAGGGGCTCCTCCCTAGCCCATGGGACCCCTGAGGAACAGATCCTCAAACGACCTCAAGAGTGAAAACAAATCAGTTTATCTGTTCCAATGGTATGTCCTTAAACACCCAAAAGGGAAGTATAACCAAAGATTAAAGGGGCCAATATAATTTCATAAGAGCACACATATATATAACTAAAAGTTACTTGACAAAAAGCTTTCTTTTTAACTTCTCTTTTGTTGATAGGTGGAAATTTTTTTCTAGTAATCAGTTAACATAAATGTGTACATGATTATCCTTCCTACTACACAGTGACTAACTACACACTGTGTGATAACTACACAGTGACAAGTTGTTATTCTGGTTCTAAGTTATTAGTTTGCTATACATCCTATGTGCATAGTAACTACAAAATTTCTAGGTCTACAGAACTAAGGACCAGAAGATTCAAACACAGTGATCACACAAACAGAATGCTACCTGGTCACCTTCAGACCCCCATTTCAATTTTGCACATTATTTGAGCTACAGTAGTACGGGACTCACCTAAAGGCTAATGGCTATACCTCTGCCTAATGATTTAGAAACTATCAGATCACACGGCATTCTGTGCACCACAGCGGGACCCACAGAGGGAAATAGATCACACTTGTGGCATCACTCTCACTCTTGTACTCATGCAGTAATTAATGTCATGTGACACATCTCAATTTGTGTGAAAAAAACTATTATGGGCATATGGTGTAACTACCTAATAAAGCATTTCTTTGACCATATTCCATAATTAACAATACATACTTCATATTTTATACAAAGCAAAGTTATTTAAGGAATTAGCAAAACTTCTATATTCTGTTGTTCATTTTTAATCTGAATTATCTATTTTAGAACTTTCTTTAAAATTTTAGTTTATAAGATAATAGGTTTCCATATGCTTATCCTACCCTCAATCCCCACATTTTCCCCATCCTCCCTCCCCAACCTTGTTTAAACCTTTCCAGGCCTAGTATCTCCTCCACTCACTTTGCTATCTCCTGCATTTCACAACACTTCTGCCGCCTTAGTCTCTGCCCCCACGCCAGGGCTCCTTTGGCTTCTGGACCTCTACAGACCGTCTTTCCAGTTTAAATACAGAAACCTAAAACTTCAAAGATAGGATTCACAGATGAGAGAGAACATAGGGTGTATGTCTTTCTGGGTTTGGGTTACCTTTGATTTCCTATAAACTTCATAATTTCATTTTCTTATGGCTATATAAAATTCCACTGTGCATTTGTGCCATGTTTTCATTATCCATCAGCTGATAGGCATTTAAGCTGATTCCCTTTCCTAGCTACTATGAATAGAAAATTAATGAACATGGATGTGCAGTATCTCTGTAGTAGGATATAGAATCCGTTGGGTCTATGTCCAGGAATGGTATATTCTATTTTTAGCTGAGAAACCTCTATACTGATTTTCATAGTGGCTACACCCCACCGATAGTGAACAAGGGGTCCCCTTTCCCTGCATCCTTGCCAGCATCTGTTATTTTTGTTGTTGTTGTTGGCATGCATGGTAACTCTACTAGCGCTATGAAAGCTAGCTAGTAGAGACGAAGCTCCAGACTTGCTGTGTTGTCTGCATCCTCTGATGGGGAGCTGAGCCCATTGGTATTCTGAATTATTATTGAAAGATATGTATTAGCTCTTGCTATTGTTGATTTTTGTATGGTTCAGTGTTTTCTTAGTCCTCACTTGCTTAACAACTGTCAGCATTTTTTTCTGTACCTTCTTGGATGTGTTCATCAGACTCTTCTATTCAAAGCCTCCATTCCAGTATCCTCTAGAGTTGGCAAAGTGTTCATAAATTGCTTTAGCCTGCTTTTGTCATGGGAAATTTTCCTTTCTCCTTCCATTCTTACAGTTTTGCTGGATATAGTAGTCTGACTTGGCAGTTGTGATTTTAACAGCTTAAAAATACACCTTTCCATATCCTTCTGGCTCTTAGAGTTTCTGTTTAAAAAAAAATCACCTTTATCTGATGGGCCCTCCTTTATATGTGATTTGGCCCCTCTTTCTTGCTGCTTTCAACACTCTCTTTATTCTGAATACTAGTGTCTTGACTATATGATGTGGGAAATTTCTTTTCTGGTCCTGTCTTCTGGTATACTATATGTTTCTTGTACCTGGATGGGCATCTCTTTTAAAAATATTTTCTATGCCTTTGGTGTGATTCTTCTTCTTCTATGCCCACAATTCATAAATTTGGTCTTTTCATCATGTTTCAAGGATCTTGTATATTCCACTGATAGGTTTTTATTAAATTTATCACTGACTATGACTGAATGGTCCAATTCCTCTACCTTATCTTCAAACTGTGACATTCTTTCCTTCACAGGAGCCACATGAAGTTTTTATTTTACTCACTGAATTCTTCATTCCCAGTAATGTTTCAGTTTGCCTTTTCTTCAGTGTTTCTCTTTGTTGAACTGTGTTTTTATATCCTAAACTGACTTCCTTATTTCATTCAGTTGTTAGTGTTATAATCATTCCTTTGACTACTGTATGGAATTTTGTCTATATCACATTCATTGGCATCTACTACTACGGGACTGGTATTCTTTGGAGGAGATATCTTGTCTTGGCTTTTCATGTTATATATATCTTTATTCTGTGACTTGCTAATGTGGAGTTAGTTCGTTGATTAAGTCTTTCTAGCATTCCTGTAATGAATAAGTGTTTGCTTCAGAGCCTGATATTCCCTCTGCTCGGTGGGTCTTTGCTCAGCCCTGTGTTGCTTGAAGTTTGGTTATGATGACACCCAGGGTTGATCTGTGGATGAAGTAACTGAAGGTGACCTCAGCTTGGGGAAAACACCAAGGGCCAGCCCCTGACCTCAATGCAGTTTGATGGCACTTGGGATGGCAATTCTCTACATTCTGTCACATTGTGTGCTGTTTGAGAGTATGTGGCAGGATGACTCTACCTTCATGAGCTAGGGTGCATATGGAGTGAGGGGAGGGGGGAGAAGCCAGGTGTGGATGAGTTGTGCATCCTTTTGCTTTTGCATTCAGGGTGCCCACAGGGCAGTGGGAGTGTGTGCTTGGGGTGGGGGAAGGGCTCACTTTCTTCTGGCTTCAACACTTAGTATATATGGGGGCAGTGGAAGTGTGAGGAGGGGGTGGGAGCTCCTGAGACCTCTAACCTGCCAGGCTGAGGTGAGCATGGAATGT